TGGATGTGTTTTTAAAAAGCCTATATTGCATCAGCCAATCAAATTGAAGATTATGAGCCTGGAGCCAATGGATGCAGACCAGGGGCGGGACTTAGAACCAATAACGGCTGTTATAACTGCCCTTGCTCTGAGTTGTTCTGAAGTGAAGGAAATGCCTGGCCTTCCCTTGCTTCTCTGAAGTGCTGGATGGTGAGCGCTCCATCCTTTTCCCATTGATTCGCCAGCTTTTTCTTCCAGAAAGTTCCCACAGCATTCCTGCTCAGATTCAGTCACCCTCCTTTTTAGGTTACCAAGCAAACCTCTACCAAAGATAACCAGACCTCTGATCCCATGTTCTCCTCTTTTTGACCCTTGGGTCGCCTCTAAATGCTTTCCTTGCTCGAATGTTTCTGTGTTCATGAGGGCAATAAGCGACATACCTTTAAAGTCTCGGAGTCCAGGGAAGGCTGCCAGTTTACAGAGATAATTGGACCTCTGCAGTTTAAAGCCATAAACCATTGTGAGTTTTACAGATTTAGGAGGACTTCAGTGTATTTTTGTGACCTCAGCTCTGCAAAATGCCAGTTTAAAAAAGGGAGACTGTTCTTGGGCTTTTGTTTTTTTTCTGTTTTTTTAGGGCTAGATGAATTTTGTGACTCTACTTCCGTGATAAAGAGAATATCTAAAGTTGGCTGACTGTTAAGGTCAGTCTATGTGTCTTTTTGAGAAGACCATCATTAATTACCTTAACACAAGAGGATTTGGGATATATTAGCTACAAATACATTGATTTATATTCAGTAGACTGTGAAGTCATAATTTAATGGTATTATTGGAAGTCAATAGAAGTTCAGAACGTAGGGCTTAGTTAAAGAGTGTGCGTAATAAGAGTGTGACACTGGGGACTATATCTTATCCCTGACCCCTTTTGGACTGGCTCTTTCACTCTTCTGTCCATTTCCTGACTGCCACAAGGGAGCAGCTTTTCTCTGTCATGCCCTTCTGCCATGGTGTTTTTGCCTTGTATATTACCCACAATGGAATATTATTCAGCCATAAGGAAGAATGAAATCCTGTCACTTGCAAGAAAATGGATGGAACTGTAGGCTATCTTGCTAAGCAAAATAAGCCAGACACAGAAAGTTAAATATTACATGTTTTCCTTTATATGAGAAACCTAAAATAAATGAATGAATGAATGAATGAATGAATGAATAGAAGGAGAAAAGATAAGAAACCAGAAGTTAGATCTTGGAAGGAGCAAGGAAGATTCTTGGTAAAGGAGATAGGGAAGATCAGCAAAATGGAGAAGAGAGAACGATGTAAAGCGACTGAAAATGATGAAGGAATTTAATATGTATGTGTCAGTTCCCCAAAATTATTATCACTATTTTGTACTATAATCATGCCCTAATAAAATAGTTTAAAAG